GCAGCGATCTTTACGATTGTTAGGTCTTTAAGATTTTCGTTTTCTTCAAAGTCTTTGGAATTTTTTAAATCTTTGGCATCATAAGAGATCACGCGATTTTTACAAGTTTCAGAATCTTTGGCTTTTTGGGATTCCTCTAGAACCTTTAGAATCTTTCAAGTATTCGAAACAGAATTTTAGCTTTTGACCCCTTAGAGTCCTTAGAGTCTTTAGACCCTTTAGAGCCTTTAAAGTCTTTAGTCTTTCCAATCTATGGAAATTTTGAACGCTTTGGGAATTACTAGGAGTTTTATTCTTAAAAAATTCGGGGATATAGATTTCGTCTTATTGATTTTAAAATCATAGCGTGTTTATGGTCCCAGCGCAAAATTGTTTTGAAAACATAATTTTTTTTTAATCGAAAAAATGCTAATATTTCAGTGGGCGATGCTGGGAGAACGGTAAAAGTTATTGAAGAAATAAGACTTAAACTACCTTCTGGAGTTCGAAGTCTAAAAAAATGACTTTGGCTAAATTTCGAAATGTGTCGAGGATTGACCCAAATTTTAATTGTTTTAATTGTCATTGAAACATTTCGCTGTTGAAAAAATTAGCAAAAAATTCTCAAAAAAATCTGGGAAACAGATTTCGTCGTGTCGATTCCAAAAATATTGTGTGCAAGATTTGAAAATATTCGGTTTGAAAAGATATATGTATATACTCCTATATTTTTTAAATTGAAAAAATTGTCACATATCATTAGGCGATTTTATTTAAATAGTTCACTTTCGAAAAATGTTAAAAATTGACCGAAATTTTGATAATATTGAAAAATTTAGCTTTTGAAAAAGTTGTCAGAGAATTCTGGGAAATACTCGTGGATTTTGTCGTGTTGATTCCAAAAAGATAGCATGTCTATACTCCCGGGGAAGTATTTAAAAATACTCGGTTGAAATATTTGTTTTAATCGAAGAAATTGCAATAATTTAGTGGGTGGCTCTGGAAAAATTGTAGAAAAACTGAAGAGATGAAGCCGAAATTAACTTCGAGAATGACTTTTGTTCAATTTCGATTATTTTTGAAAATTGGCGGAAATTTTCGTGATACTGAAAAATTTTTAGAAATATTCGGTTTGAATTTTTTTTTAATCGAAAAAATTGCAATATTTCAGTGGGCGATTCCTGTAAAATCGTAAGAACTACCGAAAAAAAAATAACATTGAAAAATTTTGCTTTTGTGAAAAATTGTCAAAAAATTCCCAAAAAATACCTGTAACATAGATTTCAATTTCTAAAATTGTCGAAAATTGGTAGAAATTTTAATAACTAATAAAAGTTTTGCTGTTCAAAAAATTCCCAGAAAATTTTGGTATCTAAATTTCGTCGTGTTACTTCCAAAATCAGAGCATGTTTAAGTTCCCGGGGTAAAACTTAAAAATATTCGATATAAAACTTTTTTTTCTAATGGAAAAATTGTGGAAAAATGATAGGGAAATGAGGCGGAAATTAGCTTCCGGCAGTCGAAATTTTATAAGAAAATGTTTTGATTCAATTTCAAAAATTTACGAAAATTGTCTGAAATTTTCGTAATTTTGAAAACTTTTGCTTTTGAAAAGATTGTCAAAAATTTCCCAAAAAATTCTGGGATGTACTCATTTCGTTGTGCTGATTCCAAGAACATAGTGTGTTTAAGCTCCCGGAGTAATATTTAAAAATGTTCCGTTTAAAATTTTTTTTAAATCGAAAAATCTTGCTATATTTCAATGGGTGATTCTGGAAAAATGGTAAGAGATATTAAAAAAATTAGGCCGAGACGAGGATAAGGAAATGTTTTTGATTCAATTTCCAAAATTGTCCAAATTGGTAGAAATTAATAATATTATCGAAAAATGTTGCGTTTCAAAAAAATTGCTAAAAAATTCTGGCATCTAAATTTCGTGGTGTTAATTGCAAAAACAGAGCATGTTTAAGCTCCCGGGGTAATACTTTTTTTAACATTTTTTCTAATGGAAAATTATGGAAAAATATTAGGAACTATTGAAAAAATAAGGCCGAAACCTGCTTTCGGAAGTCGAAATGTATAAGAAAATATTTTGACTCACTTTCAAAAATTCACGAAAATTAGCTGAAATTTTCGTAATATTGGAAACATTGGCTTTTGATAAAGTTGTAAAAAATTTCCTAAAAAATTCTGGGATATATTTAGATTTCGTTGTTTGATTCCAAGAACACAGTGTGTTTAAGCTCTTCTAGTTTCCTTTTGTGAAAAGATGACTACGTAAATTAAGTAAAAAGGGCCAAATATAAGCCCCGCCCACCCACCCAATGTCAATTGTGATGATTTTTGTATTCGTCGTAAGCCGTGGGGCGCAGCTTAATTGGAAAATCTTTATTTTTCTACAATTTTAAACATGTTTTAAGTTTCTTGGTGTGAAAAGAAAACTACGTATATTAAAAAAAAAAACAGAGACAAAATATAACCCCGCCCACCCACCCTGTCTCCATTGTGATAATGTTTTCTATTCGTCGTGAGCCAAGAAGACGGAGCTTAACTGCAAAATCCTTATTTATCTACAGAAAAGCAGACTACATATATTAAAAAAAGGGAAAAAATATAAACCCCGCCCACCCGCCCTGACTCAATTGTGATGATTTTAAAAATATTCAGTTTGAAAATATTGTTTGTAAATCGAAAAAAATTGCAATATTTCAGTGGGTGATTCTGGAAAAATGGTAAGAGCTATTAAAGAAATGAGGCCGAGATGAACTTTAGGTGGTAGAAATTTATAGTAAGTTTCTTTGGTTCAATTTCAAAAGTTGTTGAAAATTGGTAAAAATTTTAACAACATCGAAAAATTTTGCTTTTCAGAAAATTTGCCAAAAAAGTACCAAAAAATACCGGTAACTAGATTTTCGCGTGTTAATTTCAAAAGCATAGCGTGTTTACGCTCCCGGGGGGTAATGGTTTAAAAACATTCGGTTTAAAATTTTTTTTAATGGAAAAAAATTGCCATAGTTTAGTGGGCGATTGTGGCAAAATAACAGGAACTATGAAGAAATGAGGCCGAAATTAGCTTCTGGAAGTCCAAATTTATAAGAAAATGTTTCGGTTGCATTTAAAAAATTGTCGAAAATGTGCCGAAATTTTTGTATTGAAAATGTTTACTTTTGAAAAAATTGACAAAAATTTCCCCTGTTTGAAAATATCTTTTTGTTTTAAATTGAAAAAATGTGTAACGATTTAGTAAGCGATTCAAAAAAATAAGTAGGAGCTATTGAAGAAATGAGGCTGAAACACTAGCTTTTGGAAGTTGAAATCTATAAGAAAATGTCTTTGGTTCTATTTAAAAAATTGGTGAAAATTGTCCGAAATCTTCACAATATTAAAAAATTTTGGTTTTGAGGAAGTTGCCAAAAAATTACCAAAAAATTCTGGTAACTAAATTTTCTCGTGTTAATTTCAGAAACATAGCGTGTTTACGCTCCCGGGGTAATGGTAATGGTTTAAAAATATTCGGTTTAAAATTTTTTTTAACGGAAAAAAATTGCCATAATTTAGTGGGCGATTGTGGCAAAATGACAGGAGCTATTGAAGAAATGAGGCCGAAACTAGCTTCTGGAAGTCCAAATTTATAAGAAAATGTTTTGGTTGCATTTCAAAAATTGTCGAAAATTTGCCGAAATTTTTGTATTGAAAATTTTTGCTTTTGAAAAAATTGACAAAAAATTCCAAAAAAATTCTGGGCTATACTTAGATTTCATCGTGCTGATTCCCAAAACATAGCGTGTTTAAGCTCACAGAGTAATATTAAAAAATATTCGGTTTGAAAATATATTTAAAAGAAATTGCAATATTTGAGTAGGCGATTCTGGAAAAATAGTAGGAGCTACATATTGAAGAAATGAGGCCAAAACTAGCTTCTCGAAGCTGAAATTTGTAAGGGAATGTATTGCTTCAATTTTTCAAATTGGCCGAAATTCTGGTGATATTGAAAAATTTAGCTTTTGAAAAATTGACAAAAAAATTTCAAAAAATTCTGGGATACAGACTTCGTCGTATTTTTTCCGAGAACGTAGTGTGTTTAAGCTCTGAATAATATTTAAAAATTTTCGGTTTGAAAATATATTTTTTTTAAACTGAAAAAATGTGTAAGTATTTAGTGAGCGATTCTAAAAAAATAGTAGGAACTATTGAAGAAATGAGGCTGAAACACTAGCTTTTGGAAGTTGAAACCTATCAGAAAATGTCTTTGGTTCTATTTAAATAATTGGCGAAAATTGGTCTTCACAATATTAAAAAATTTTGGTTTTGAGAAAGTTGCCAAAAAATTCTGGGACATAGATTTCACCGTGCTGATTCCAAAAACATAACGTGTTTAAGCTTCCGGGGTAAAATTGAAAAATATTCGGTTTGAACTTCTGGAAGTCGAAGAAAAAAAGAAATTATCATAGGGGAAGATATTGAAAATTTTGCTTTTGAAAAAGGTGACTGAAAATATGTTTTATATTATAGGTTGGTTTGTCCCAATATTATTCGTGAATAACACTGTATATAAATATTAAAAAAAAAAAAAACAAAATACACACCAAATCATATAACATGCAAAATCAATAAAGAATCTCAAATTCAACTTGACAATGGATCAGTCGTACCAACTTACAAACTAAATGCATGGCCTACTAAATATCAAACATTAACGAAGCCTCTGTATAATGCATTTACGTCTTTTTTAAATGGCAGCAAGCCATGGAAATCTGTTTTTTCTAGAGATATAAGTCAGATGTACCTAAGAACATCGTGAATATAACATAACTTGATAGAACCAGCAACAGAGCGTGTCTAACCTCACTTTCTTGTTGCTGTTTTGTTTTCTTTTATATGTCATTTGTCTGCGGCATTGTCGGTTTTACTTATTTCATCTGTAGATTGCGACGTTGGTGATTTTTTCATTTTCATGCAGTCTTTACGAACAAGATCTTATAAATTATGTATTTTAGACAATAGGTACATTAACCACTTACCAGTCGAACAGTCCAATCAGCATCTATAGAGGCCTGCCACCCCTACACTTCCCCTTTTCAGTTACCAGCCAGATCCCGTAACCTGCAACACGAAAACCAAACCAATCAAATATGCCGACCTGAAAACCGCAATCGTCTCTCATTCCGTATTTCGATTTTAAGACAACAATAGATTATTTGACGCCGAATGCCTCATACGTCTTCGCGTAGGCGAAACACACATCACACACACATCAAGAATGATTACGTCGGTCGCCTACCATCTTTGTGATGTAAAAATGCGAAAGAAACAAATCCTAAAAGCTCGCATATCCTGCTGGAATACACAAGGAGCCATCCTTAATCCGTGTCCCCTGCTGCCTTCAAAGGATCTCGGACGCTTTGCGAGATGCTCACGTGACGGACCAAGAAGAAGAGAAAAACAAACCGGAGACCTTAAAAGAACCGAATCAACGTCAGCACCGCCGGCGCTGGGGGCTGGTGGCGGCGTTGTTTTCGCTGTTGTATACAGCAGGAGTGATTAGAGTTAAGACGAGACAGAATCGATATTCACACAATGAAAGCGGACACTAATATAGTTTTCGTGTCAGCCGCTTCGGAACAAAGTACTAATTGAGGACTCATAACAAAAATAAAATGCAATTAGGGTCTATTCGAAGGGGAGGAAATGAGGGTGGATGCTGGGGCTGGGGAAGGGAAGGTGGTGCAAGACGGGGTGACGACGTACGAAGACGATTCGAAAAATTAAGGCCCTTTCTACCTGTGCCCGAAGGCGAAAAGGAGTTCCGAGAAACGGCTTTTAGATATAAATTAACGCTGGAAAGGAGCAATTACTTGGCCTACTACCAAAGCCAAACAATTAACCCTAGGTAAATCAAATTTGTCACAAGCATGGAACACTACTTGCTTAACAATCTCAGATTGCGACACCAATGTTAAAATTGATTCTTAAAATGCTGGATTATTACTCAAAAATCGGTAGCGATTTTTTTAATTGCAAACTGTAAATTCTCATATATTTATTTTATAAATCATAATATAGTTCTCAAAACTTCCAGCCAAGGACACATTTTCACCACAAAAGCTGTTAAGGAAAGCACTAAAATCCCACGCAGATTTCTTTATCCTCTCCGATCTCGTAGTTACATGTATAAGCTCAGCCAAGGTTTTGCAGACGCAGTAATGTAATAACATTGGATACATGAAATTAATTTTATAATTACCGTTAATTCAGAATCCCATAAAAATATTCTTACTTTGTAATTTTGTTCAAATTTCTGGAGGAAATTTATGAATAATAATAATCAATGTTAGTGTTTTCATAACATCGTCAAGAAATCCCCTATGTTAAAGTCAAAAAGCAAGTTACATATTGCATTTTCACCTCCTAAGCGTCAGCTAAGGAAGTATAGTAATCGAGTTCATGGAACGAATGACCACTTTTATGTTTTCTCGACGTTTAATGGCACCTAGAGTACGAAAAAAGTAGTCTCCCATTTCCGTCTGTCTGTCTGTCTGGGGTCTGTATCCTTTCTTTCACTCCTTCTGTCCCGACCATCCACGCTTCGTTCAGGATTCCATCCCCTCCTGGTGCCTTTCCTCTTTTCAGTCTTTCAATCTGTCTTCCTATTTAATCTTCTGTTATTTCCGAACCTCTCCACATTTCTTCCGTCTTTGTGATTCTTTTATTTATTTTGCAGCATTTTTCCTCACAACCTACCAATAATTCCATAAAGTCTTTTGCATTCATGTATTTTGATTTTCCTACTGACTTCAGTCTTCCTTCTCCGTTCCTTGTTTATATATCTCCATACTTCTTCTTCTGTTTTTAGGGACTTTATTGTCTCCTCCTCTTTTTCTCATTTTTCTCTTTTTCTTTCTTCACATTTTCTCCTATAATAATTCTCTCTTGCTTTTAAGTACTCTTCTTTCTTTCCCCTGTTATTCTTCCATATTCTTAATTTTTCCCTTTCAACTCACTACGTTCTCTGTTCCATCCATTATTCCTCCCTTGCCATATGTATATCCTTCTTTTTTCCGTAGCTTGTACAATTAAGTTGATCAGTTCTGCTTCTATATCTTCTTTTACTTTGAATTTCTTTTTTTCTAGTCTACTTCTGTATCTTTGAATTCCCTCTTCATGCCATATTCTTTTTTCTATTTCTTTTCTTTCGTTTCTTCTCTCTTGTCTTTTGTACTCTTGCTCTTTTCCTTTGATTTTTATTTCTAGTGGCATGTGGTCTGATTCTATCCTTTCTCCCACTTTGAAACTCTCTATTTCTTCCCACGCCTCTTCGTTGACAATCCCATAATCTATAATTGATTCTCCCCTGGCCCCTCGTACGTCCATTCTCCTTCTCTCTTTCTTTGTTTCCATTCAAAATTTTCCATCCCATTTGTTCTATTCTCTCTATCTTCCAGAATATTTTCCCTTCTTTGTTATTTGCTTTGTCTTTTGATCCTCTTTTCTTAGAGATGTTTTTATTTATAAATATAATATCATATGTCACATGTTTCACTCGATTTTGACATGCCACAATTTTTTTATTTAACTAAGAATTAATTCTTTAATTGATTTAAAATTTAATTAAATTAAAATTTATTAATTAAATTAAAATTAACAATATTGCTGAAATCGTAATAATCCAATGGATTTTTTTCGGGAAAATGTAGCGATTTTTATGTTTTTGGAAATATTGTGTTCTACTTTGTATGAATTTTTAAAGATTTTAGTGACAGCTTTTGTGGTTATTTACGATTTTTTATGTTTATTATTTATGTATTTGTATGATATTAACACTGAGAAAAAAATCAAAATAATCGAAAATTTGAAAAATCGAAAACCAAGATGTCAAAAATCGAAATATAAAAAAATTTAAAAAGTTAAAACTGAAAAACGAAAAATCAAGAAATCAGAACTCCTAAATCAAAAAATTGAAAAATCGTATAATTGAAAATTGAAACATCGAAAAAGCGAGAAATTGATAAATCGAGAAATCAAAAAATTTAAAAATTCGAAAAATTGGAAAATTGAAATACCGAAAAATCGAAAGATCAAAATATCGAGCGAGAAGTCGAAAAATCGAAAAATTGAGAAACCGAAATAGGCTAAAATTGAAAAGACGGAAAGTTAAAAATTGAAAAATTGGAAAATCGAAAAATCTAAAAAAGGAAAAATAAAAGAACAGCAAAATGGAAAAACAGAAACCGAAATAGGTCAAAATAAAACTCATAATCGAGAAACTAACAATCAAAATACCGAAACATCTGAATCTCGATAAATCGGGAAGTCAGAATATTGAAAAATCAAAATATTTAAAAAATGAAAAATGAAAAAATCGAAAATTTGAAAAAACGCAAAATAAAATCTAAAACCGGGAAGTTCAAAAATTGAAAAATCCAGAAGTCAAAATTCGAAAAGTCGAAGAATCGAATTATTAAAACTGAAATATCGAAAGACTGAAAAATGAAAGAAAAACTGAAGAATGGAAAAACTAAAAAATCCCAAAACTGAAATGTCCGAAAACTAAGAATCTAAAAGATTTGAAAATTGAGAAATAGAAAAATTAAAAAAGTGAAATCGAAAAATCGAAACCCTAAAGTAATCGTAAAATTGAAAAATCAAAAACCTGACGAATCGAAGAATTGAAGAACACGTAAATCTAAACAGTCGAATGTCAAGAAATGGGAAAATCAAAACATCGATTAATTGAAAAATCGAACAATTGTGAATTTAGAGTCAAAAATTGAAAAACTGCAATATTTAAGAATCGTAGAAGTGAAAAGAAAAATTGAAAAATCGTAAAACTTAAACATCGGAGAATTGAGAAATTGAAAAATTTTAAAATTTTAAAATCGAAAATCTAAAAAAGGAAAAATAAAAGAACGACAAAATGGAAAAACAGAAACCGAAATAGCCCAAAATAGAATATCGAAAATTTATAGATTGAAAAACTCATAAACTCAGAAACTAACAATCAAAATATCGAAACATCTGAATCTCGATAAATCGGGAAATCAAAACATTGAAAAATCAGAAGATATAAAAAATGAAAAATGAAAAAATCGAAAATTTGAAAAAACGAAAAATAAAATCTAAAACCGGGAAGTCCAAAAATCGAAAGATTAACAACATTAAACATTTGAAAAATCCGAAAACTTGAAAAATTGAATAATCGAAAACGAATAAGTAAAAAAAAAATCGACACATGGAAGAATTCAGAAGTCAAAATTCGAAAAGTCGAAGAATCGAACTGAAGAATGGAAAAACTAAAAAATCCCAAAACTGAAATGGCCGAAAACTAAGAATCTAAAAGATTTAAAAATTGAGAAATCAAAAGCCAGACGAATCTAAGAACTAAAGAACACGAAAATCTAAACAGTCGAAAGTCAAGGAATGGGAAAATCAAAACATCGATTAATTGAAAAATCGAAAAATTGAGTATTTAGAAAGTCAAAAATTGAAAAATCGTAATATTTAAGAATCGTAAAAGTGAAAACAAAAATTGAAAAAACGTAAAACTGAAACATCGGAGAATTGAAAAATTGAAAAATTGAAAAATTTTAAAATCGAAAAATTCAATAAGAAATAATCTGAAAAATTTCCAAAAGTGTAGTTGAAAAATAGAAACTTTAAAAATTGAGAAACTGAAATATCGAAAAACTGAGAGTTTATAAAAGTTAAATTTAAAAAGTTGCAAAAAGCAAATATTAAAAAATCCTGAAATTGAAAAATTGAGAAATTGTAAAAGCGAAAAATAAATAAAGTGAAAAATCCCAAAACTGAAATTTCGAAAAATTTGAAAATCAAAGAAAAACTGAAAAATTCCAAAACCGAAATATCCAAAAACTGAGAATTTAAAAAATTGAAAGATTGAGAGATCGAAAAATCAAAAAGGTGATGTCGAAACATCGAAACTTTAAAAAATAAAAAAATGAAAAATCAAAGACCTTAAAAATCGCAAAATTGAAGAATTGAAGAACTGAAACATCGAAGCAGTCGAAAGTCAAAAAATGGGAAAATCAAAAGATCGATTTATTGAAATATCGAAAAATGAAAAATTGAAAAGAAAAATTGAGAAA